GATGTCTCAATTCTGAATATCTACGCCCCTAATATAAAAGCACCCACTTATGTAAAAGAAATGTTACTAGAATTCAAGGCAGACATCAAACCACACACACTAGTAATAGGAGACTTCAACACACCTCTCTCTCCAAGGGACAGGTCAGTCAGACAGAAACCTAATAGAGAAATAAGAGAATTATTGGAGGTAATGAAGCAAATGGACTTAACAGACATCTATAGAACATTCCACCCAAATAGGAAAGAATATACCTTCTTCTCTGCAGCTCATGGAACCTTCTCAAAATTTGACCACATACTTGGAAACAAAGGAAACCTCCACAGATACAAAAAAATATCAGTGTCAACCAGTGTCCTATCTGATCATCATGGATTAAAGTTAGAATTCAACAACAATGCTACCCCCAGAAAGCCTACAAACTCATGGAAACTGAACAGTCATCTACTGAACCACACCTGGGTCAAGGAAGAAATTAAGAAAGAAATTAAATTCTTCCTTGAATTTAATGAAAATAAAGAGACAACATACCCAAACCTATGGGACACTATGAAAACAGTGCTAAGAAGAAAGTTCATAGCACTAAGTGCCCACTTAAAGAAAATGGAGAATTCATACATTGGGGACTTAACAACACACCTGAAAGCTCTAGAAAAAAAAGAAGCAGACGCGCCCAGGAGAAGTAGAAGACTGGAAATAATAAAACTGAGGGAGGAAATCAACAAAATAGAAACACAGAAAACAGTCCAAAGAATCAATGAAACAAAAAGCTGGTTCTTGGAGAAAATCAACAAGATCGACAAACCCCTATCCAAACTAATTAAACGACAGAGAGAGAACACGCAAATAAATAAGATCAGAAATGAAAAGGGGGACATATCCACAGACCCAGAGAAAGTTCAGAGAATCATTAGATCTTACTACAAAAGGCTGTATGCCACAAAACTGGAAAATACAAAAGAAATGGACATTTTTTTAAATAAGTACCTTATACCAAAGTAAACCAACACCAGGTGAATGATCTAAATAGACCTGTTACTCCCGAAGAATTAGAAACGGTTATCAAAAATCTCCCTTTGAAAAAAAAGCCCAGAACCAGATGGTTTCAATGCAGAATTCTACAAGAACTTCCAAGAAGTAATACTTATTCTCCTTAATGTATTTCACAATATAGAAACAGAAGAGTCATTGCCAAATTCCTTTTATGAAGCTACAGTTACCTTGATACCAAAACCAAACAAAGACCCAACCAAGAAATAGAATTACAGGCCTATCTCACTCATGAATATCGACGCAAAAATTCTCAATAAAATACTGGCAAATCGAATCCAAGAACGCATTAGAAACATTATCCATTATGATCAAGTAGGCTTCATCCCAGAGATGCAGGGCTGGTTCAACATACACAAATCTATCAATGTAATCCACCATATAAATAAACTGAAAGAAAAAACCATATGATCATTTCGTTAGATGCTGAAAAAGCATTCAACACAATTCAACACCCCTTTATGATAAAGGTCTTGGAGAGATTAGGGATACAAGGGTCCTACCTAAATATAATAAAAGCTATTTACAGCAAGCCGACAGCTAACATTAAATTAAATGGAGAAAAACAAAAAGCCATCCCACTAAAATCAGGAACACGACAAGGATGTCCACTCTCTCCATACCTCTTCAATATAGTGCTTGAAGTTCTAGCAATAGCAATAAGATAACATAAGGAGATCAAGGGGATTCGTATTGGAAAGGAAGAAGTTAAGCTTTCGTTATTTGCAGATGATATGATAGTGTACTTAAGCGACCCCCAAAACTCCACCAAAGAACTTTTACAGCTGATAAACAGCTTTAGTAATGTGGCAGGATACAAGATCAACTCCAAAAAATCAGTTGCCTTCCTATACACTAAGGATAAGGAAGCAGGGAGGGAAATCAGAGAAGCATCACCTTTCACGATAGACACAAATAACATAAAATATCTTGGGGTAACTCTGACCAAGGAAGTGAAAGATCTATTTGACAAGAACTATAAATCTTTGAAGAAAGAAACTGAAGAGACCACCAGAAAATGGAAGGACCTCCCTTGCTCTTGGATTGGGAGGATCAACATAGTAAAAATGGCAATTCTACCAAAAGCAATCTATAGATTCAATGCAATCCCCATCAAAATCCCATCAAAATTCTTCGCAGATCTGGAGAAGACAATAATCAACTTTATATGGAAAAACAAAAAACCCAGGATAGCCAAAACAATCTTATACAATAAAGGATTTTCTGGACCACTTCCTACGCATAACCCCAGCTGCACAGACATTAAGGGCCTCATTGAATGAATGCGACCTCCTGAGACTGAGAAGCTTCTGTAAAGCAAAGGACACTGTCACTAAGACAAAAAGGCAACCCACTTACTGGGAGAAGATCTTCAACAACCCCGCAACTGACAAAGGTCTGATCTCTAAAATATATAAAGAACTCAAGAAACTAGACCGTAAAAGACTAATCAACCCAATTATAAAATGGGGTGCTGAGCTGAACAGAGAATTCTCAACAGAAGAAGTTCAAATGGCCAAAAGACACTTAAGGTCATGCTCAACCTCCTTAGCGATCAGGGAAATGCAAATCAAGACAACTTTAAGATACCATCTTACACCTGTCAGAATGGCTAAAATAAAAAACACCAATGATAGCCTTTGCTGGAGAGGTGGTAGAGAAAGGGGTACACTCATCCATTGCTGGTGGGAATGAAAACTTGTACAGCCACTCTGGAAAGCTGTGTGGCGGTTTCTCAGGAAATTCGGGATCAACTTACCCCTGGACCCAGCAATACCACTCTTGGGAATATACCCAAGAGTGGCCCTATCATACAACAAAAGTATATGCTCAACTATGTTCATAGCAGCATTGTTTGTAATAGCCAGAACCTGGAAACAACCTAGATGCCCTTCAATGGAAGAATGGATGAAGAAAGTATGGAATATATACATATTAGAGTATTATTCAGCAGTAAAAAACAAGGACTTCTTGAATTTTGCATACAAATGGATGGAATTAGAAAACACTATCCTGAGTGAGGTAAGCCAGACCCAAAAAGAGGAACATGGAATGTACTCACTCATATTTGGTTTCTAGACATAAATAAAAGCCATTGAGCTTATAATTCACGTTCCTAGAGAAGCTAAATAAGAAGGTGAATCCAAAAACAAATATATAGGCATCATCCTGAATATTAACCTTCATCAGGTGATGAAAGGAGACAGAGACCCACATTGGAGCACCAGACAGAAATCTCAAGGTCCAAATCAGGAGCAGAAGGAGAGAGAGCACGAGCAAGGAACTCAGGACCGCGAGGGGTGCACCCACACACTGAGACAATGGGGATGTTCTATCGGGAACTCAACAAGGCCAGCTGGCCTGGGTCTGAAAAAACATGGGATAAAACCGGACGCGCTGAACATAGTGGACAATGAGGACTACTGAGAACTCAAGGACAATGGCAATGGGTTTCTGATCCTACTGCATGTACTGGCTTTGTGGGAGCCTAGGCAGTTTGGATGCTCACCTTACTAGACCTGGATAGAGGTGGGCGGTCCTTGGGCTTCCACAGGTCAGGGAACCCTGATTGCTCTTTGAGATGATAAGGGAGCAGGACTTGACGGGGGAAGGGGAGGGAAATGGGAGGCGGTGGTGGGGAGGAGGCAGAAATCTTTAATAAATAAATAAATTAAAAAAAATCTCAGTAGGAATATGGGGTAATTTATATATACTAGAAAATACATCATATTGTACATTTGTTACTCAGGGGACAACTGAGAACATGCCTAGTGCTCCAAATATAACTAAGTGAAAAATGATCTTACACAAATTCCTCTAATGGAGCATTGAATTTTAATATTTAATATTTGAGTATTTTATGCTTGTAATCTATTATTATCACAAATATGTCATGTGATAATGAGGCTGAAAAAAGTTTTCACTGGATTATTACACAAAACATCTTGTCATGTGCAAAAGGCTTTACTTTCTGTTCATACTTATGAGGCTTTGAGCATTGGTACTGTGCTTTGTTTGCTTTCTCTTCTGTGACAAAAAAAGAATTCTGGGGTAGAGGACATTTTCAAACTTCCTTGTCAGAATTCCATCATATTGGGAAGCCAGGACAGGAACTCAAGTATGACATGAATCTGGAAACAGGCACGGAATCAGAATTGATGGAGAAATCTTGTTTACTAGAGTGATCTTCATCCCTTAATCAGCTACCTGCCCTCTAAGGGATACCACCCATAGTGAACTGGGCCACTCCTCCTCATACAGTGATCAAGACAAAGCGGCCAGAGACATGTCTAAATGTCTTTCTGATAAAGTCATTTTTTGCTGTCTATTTCATTCTTCCCAAATGGGGGTTGTAGTTTGTGTCAAAACTAATTAGCAGATACATTTCATACACAAAGCCTGAAATCCTGCCCATTGGCACACTACACAACATCCTAAGCCCCCCTAAATTGGGAATGTGAAAATGGCTTCACAGACTTGTTTCCAGGCCATTCTGATTGAGCCATTTATCAATTGACAGACCCTATCTCCATGACCATTTTTCCTTCCTGTTCACTCGTTATGTATGATTATTTTATATATCTTTGTATCTGAGTTGTGTTTTTATACAAAAACTTTTGTGGAAGGCAGAAAATGCAAGAAATTCGTCATATCAAGTGTATCAGGATTTGTGAACTCATCACATGAATCCGTGTCATTAAATCTGGTTTGCTGAAAGATTGAGAATTGTTCTTAACCTCCAAGCCTGTGATACAGCTCCTTTTAATTCTTACAGAAGTAACATTAGTCCTCTACTTCTTTGCACATAGCAGGGTCTCACCATGAAATACATCTTGTCTTGACATTGATACCATTATTTTATTCCTTCTGAGATTCTATAGTTGTGTTCCAGACAGGCTAGCCTTCAATATTTCTCTTGTCTAAAGGATTGCTTTTCTCATTTTTTGCAGAAATCAGAAAATTGAGAAAGACCATGAAAGTGAATGTCATAATGAGTGTGATAAAAACCAGCAAGCTAGTCCAGGGAGTATGATCAATAACATCTTGCCTTCCAGAGTAAGAGCTCATAAGACTCCATTGCTTGTTCAAATATCATTGTTGATTTATCCTTACATTGTGTATCTCAGAGAAAAAGGTAGAGGAAAACCATCACTGTATAAGGGAGCTGTGGCAAAAGCTTTTAAACATCAGAAACATTGGAAAGTAATCAGTTATTCTGAATTTATTTCAGGTACTTGAAACTTCTCCTGAAGAGAAACCCAGGAAAAAACAATATAAAGAAGCCTGTAGGAGTCTGTGTTTAGATCAGTCTCAGGAGAGACCTTATACTGGAGATAAACTTAATGAGGATGCCTTCATGAGATACACACAGGGACAGAATGATGAACAAAACCATAAAGAAGTGGAACAATTTGTATGTTGTCTCTGCGAAGAATCCTTCGTTAATTCCAGAGAGTTTACCAACCATGACAAAAGTCATATTGAAGAGGAAAGGTACATTTGTAGGCAATGTGGCCAAACATTTAAATATAAAACATGTTTTGAGAAACAAAAAATAACTCTCAAAGGAGAGAAGTCATACACTTCTATACATTATGGAAAAGACTTCACCCAATTTGATCATCATCACAGTCAGGAAAGCTGTTACATTGGACAAAAGCCTTATGCCTACAAGCATTGTGGAAAAAACTTCACCAGTTCTTCTTATCGAAACATTCATGAAAGATTTCACACGGGAGAGAAACCTTATGCATGTAAACATTGTGGAAAAGCATACAGCATTTCCAGTGCTTGTCATTTTCATGAAAGAATGCACATGGCAGAGAGAAATCATACATGCAAGCAATGTGGAAAATCCTTTTTCTGTCTCAAGCATCTGAAAAGGCATGAAATAATTCACACTGGAAAAACGCCTTTTGCATGTAAGCATTGTAGAAAAGCCTTCAACCACCCCAGTAGTCGTAGCAGACATGAGAGGAACCACACTGCAGAGAAACCTTATGCATGTAAGCATTGTGGGAAAAAGTTCACCCGTTCTTTATATTGAAACATTCATGAAAATATTCACACTGGAAAGAAACCTTATGCATGCAAGCATTGTGGAAAAGCCTTCAACGGTCCCAATAGTCATAAGAATCATGAACATAGGCACACTGCAGAGAATTCTTCTTCATGAGCATTGTGGAAAAGCCGTCAACAAATACAGTAGGTGTAACAGACATCAAAGGAGCCACACTATAAAGAAACTGAAGACTTATACATGCAAACATTGTGGAAAAACTGTTTCTGGTGTAGACATCTGAATATTCATGAAATAATTCACACTGATAGAAGCCTTATTATGTAAGCATTGTGGAATATCATTCAGCAACTCCAGTAGTTTTAATAGACGTGGAAGGAGTCACACTGCAGAGAAACCTTTTTCATGTAGGCATTATGAAAACTCCTATACCAGTTTCAGTTCTTGTAAGACTCATGAAAAGAGTTCTCATTAAAGAGAATTTGTATACATTTAAGCAGTGTGAAAGTGTTTTCCTGCTCCAATCACCTGAACATTCATGAAAAGATTCACATGGGGGAAAAGTCTTGAGCATGTAAACATACAAGAAAAGCCTTCTGTGACATCAGTCGTCATAACATACATGAATGAAGTCACACTTTAGAGAAGCCTTATTCATGTAAATATTATGCAAAATCCTTCACCAATTTCTATTCATGAAGGTTCACGAAAGAGATCATACTGAAGAGAAGAGCTATGCATGTACGCATTGTGGGAAAGCATTTACCCCCTTCAGTCAGCTGAACATCCAGGAAAGGGTTCATACTTGAGAACATGGCTTTTGCATGTATACATTACAGGAAACCTTTTAACACTTCAATGTGTCCTGATTTCATGAAAAACAATCATACTGGGGAGGAACTCTTTGTGTACAAAAGATGTGGAAACTATTCATTCTGTAGACTTTAACAGGCATAAAAGAGTTCACTTGATAGTAAAGCCTTATGCACACAAGAATTGTGGAAAAGCCTTCAGCTACTCTTGTGATCATAACAGATCTGAAACTCTTCACACTAGTCAGTAGCCTAATATGTGTAACCATTGTCAGAAAGCCTTTACTAGATTCACTTGGTCCAAGAGTAAATACATTCACACTGGATAGAAACCTTTTGTATGTACATGGAAAAAAACTATTTCTTTGTTCTTGTGATTCTATAACAAGCATAAAGTTCTCACACAGTGTCTGTAATGTGGGAAAGTCTTCAGCACATCCAGTTTCTGTAATTCTCATGCACAGTCTGAAGGTAGATTTACGTGTATATCCATGTGGGAAATTTTTTGCATCATAGTTCCTACTAAGCTCAATTACTTTTTCACTTTTGAGAATCTGTTTAGAATAAATGTGGGAAAATATTTAAAGTGTTTAAAATGAATAAAACTTAAAAGTTTTATTTTATTTTTTTTGGTAGTGTCTTACTGTGCTAAAGTTAAAACCTTCCTGTTTTATGAGACAAAAAAAAAAGAGAGAGAGAGATGCTGTACACTGTGATGATTTTTCACTCAGATTGGTTTAGTAGAAACTTGATTGGCCAGTAGCCAGGTAGGAAATATAGGCATAACAACCAAACTAAGGACACTGGGAAGAAAGGTGGAGTCAGAGAGTCGCCAGGAGAAATAGAGGGAGTGACACATGCTGAAGGAGAGGTAAAGCCATGAGCCATATGGCAATATATAAATTAATAGAAATGTGTTGGGTCCTAATGGAGTCCTGGCCTACCTACTCACTTCCCCTGTAGATGACCTTTCTTGTCCTTGTTCTTAGTTTCTGAGAAACTTGCAAGTTTCCTGCTCTCACAGTTGTTTACCAACCCTGCTTCCTGAGTACACATTTTCTTGGCCCCTAACCCAAGGATCTGGTGATGAGTTGTCCATCCTGTTGGCCTACCTATCTGGGTTAGGTATAACCCGCCCCCCCTTGGTGATGTACAATAAAGGCTTCTAATTCTGCAACATCCAAAGTGTCTTTTCCTTAATCCTGACATCCTTTGCTAGCATTTTGTGCTAGCTGTACTGGTGCGGCAGAAATGGGTTGTAAGAGCTAGCTACTAATAAGCCTGAGCTATAAGCCAAGAATTTAAAATTTAAAAGTGTCCGTGGTTATTTAGGAGTGGGCTTATTGGAAACAAAAACTCTGTCTACATTATAATTGTGACATATAATGCATACACACTTATAAATTTATACATACATAGGTATATGTGTATATGTATGAAGTTATGCCATTTGGCTTGACAGTTCCTAAACCAAAGAACCTCTTATTCATAAAAACCAAACCACCAATATCAGGCAGAATAAATCTTCATTTGAGTTGTCCATGATAGTTATTTAATTCGCTCAGAAATTTAGAGTAATTTTTTTCCTTTTGGTCATCTCTGTGAGGCTGAATGTTAGTCATATTTACTGAAACCATTGCACATTTTGAATCCAGGGTGAAACATTTGAGCTCGAGATAAAATTAAACCCACCTTCATTTATTCTAACATTTATATAAAGTTTCTCAGTGAGAGAAGCAGTCAAAATCCCTCGTCAATTTTTAACTCTTTTTGTGGTTTGATTAAGAATGGCCCCCAAGGCTCATGGTGGCACATAAATCTCTTTGATTGCAGGTCAAAGGCATTCAGTGTTTCCTCTAGACTTCAGAAAACACAATCTGTTAGCTCTGATCATGTGCTGATACATTTTTATTGTTAACTTGATTCAAAGTCATATCACCTTGGAAGAAGGAGCTTTAATTTAGGAACTATATTGCATAGTTGGGCCTGTGGCCATGTCTTTGAGGGATACTTTTAATTAATCTTGGAGGGCCTAGTTCAGAATGGTCAATACCATCACTACAAAGGTGGATCTGGCTTATATAAGAATATTAACCAATCATCAGTTAATCCATACTTCCTGCCCTGGCTTCCATCAATGACGGTTTGTGACCTGAAACAATAAGTTAAATGAATACTTCCTTGCACTCAGTTGCTTTTATTCACGATACTTATTACAGGAACAAGAAGCAAAAAAATACGTAGTAATTCATAGAAGTATACTACATCACAGAATATTCAACAATATTGTCGGAGCATTTAAAATCATCAAATACCAGTTCAATTGAGAAAAACCAAAATGAGAAGTTTGGTATAAGAAGGAACATTTGTAAAGCCCCTGTTAGTTCTTTTTTCTGCTTACAGTATGAGGAGGGGGAATGTAGATTCAGAGCCTTTCTAAATTTAGAGTGATTTAATCGATGGATAAATGTTGTATCTATTCCTCCTCAATCTTTTTTAATGTTTTTTCATTTTACATACCATTTCCAGTGGCCACTTCCTCCTATTTTTCCACCACCCACCTCTGCCCATCCCATTCCCCATCCGGATGACTCCTGAGAGTTTGTAAGCCTCCCTTTGGGAGAAAACAATGTCTGGTATACCAGTTTGAGACAGGACCCGGACTGTCTCCCTATATAAATCTGAGCAAGTTGTTCCACCATAGGGAATGGGTTACAAAAGGCCCACTCATGTACCCAGGGTAAGTCCTGGTCCCACTGCCATGGGTTCCCCAAACAGAACAAGACACAACTGTCACACATTCAGAAGACTTAGTTTGGTCCCATGTAGTAACCCTAACTGTCAATCTTGAGTCCATGAGCTACGACTAGTTGGGTCACCTGTCTTTGTGGTTTTCTCAGTGATGATCTTGTTGTCCCTTGCTCAGATGATCCCTCCTCCTCTTCAACTAATCTCCAGGAGCTCAGCCCAGTGCTCCACTCTGGGTCTGTGCTTCTTCTTCCATCGTTAGTGGGTGCAGGTTCAATGATGACACTTATGGTATTCGCCTATTGGATTATAGGAGAAGGTCAGTTCAAGTACCCTCTCCACTATTTCTAGGAGTCTTAGCTTGGGTCATTTTTGTGAATTCCTGGCAATTTCCCTAACACCTGGTTGCTCCCTCACCTCATAATGGCTTGCTCTATCAATATAACTCTATCATTGCTCCCTCTCTCCATCGCTCCCCCAACTCAGCCATCTTAAGTCCTCATATGGCCATCCCCCATTCCTTCTTTTTTTTCCCTTCCATGTCCAGTAAGTAGATCTTAACTATTTTCCTTTCCTGGGACCCTCTATGTATATTCCTCTTACGTTTTTTTTTAATCTAATTTCATTGGGGTTGTAAATTATAATTTGGTTATCCTTTGCCTTATGTTTAACATCCACATTGTATGGTATCTTTCTAGGTCTATGAACATAGTTGAGCAAATATCTTTGTGGTATGAATATGCATCCTTTGGGTATATGCCCAAAGGTTATATTGTGGGAGTCTTGGTGTATATTGATTTCCAATTTTCTGAAAAATCACCATACAGATTTCCAAAGTGCTGTACAAATTCACACTTCCATCAGTAGTGGAGAAGTGATCCTCTTACTTTACATTTTCTCCAGCATGAACTGTTATCAGTGTTTATGATCTTAGCCATTCTGACAGGTGTAAGATGGTATATATAAAAGTAATTTGGTTTGCATTTCCCTGATGGCTCAGGATGTTGAAAAATTCCATAAGTGTCTTTTGGTCATTTGGAATTCTTCAGTTAAGAATTTTTTTGATTGGATCGGCATCCCATATTTAGTTGGATTATTTGGTATTTTGATGTCTAGTGTCTTGAGTTCCTTACATATTTTAGGCATCAACCCTTTATCAGATACAGGGTTGGTGAAGAAATTTTCTCATTCTATTCACTGTCCTTTTGTCTTATTCACCATGTCCTTTGCCTTACCAAAGCTTCTCAGTTTCAGGAGGTCTCATTTATTAATTGTTGTTCTTAATGTCTGTGCTTCTACTGTAATATTTAGGAAGGGAATCTTCTGTTTTCATGTATTCAAGGCTACTCATGACTCTCTCTTCTATACATTCAGTATAACTGAATTCATGCTGAGGTCTTTGATCCATTTGGATGTTGCTTTTTTTTCATGGGGATTGATATGGATCTACGTTCATTCCTGTACATG